TCACTTTTCTTAATGTTGTAGGATATAAACTTAATTCTTGACTGCCTTCTCTTCACCTCCTCTTCACCTTCTCCTTTCCCCTTGACCATACCCTACCCCTTTCAAGTACCCCATGTGTTTATTTTGTTGAACTTTGACTTTGCCTTTCTAAAGAATTATTCTACTTAAGTTCTCCCTTGAATCTACTATATGTCAGTTAGTATGTTTGTATGCTGGTCAACGAAGATAAGAGTCTCTCAGACTTTTCTGCCCAGGATGGCTTTGAACTACTCGTCTAAGATCTAAGCCTGAGTAGCTAGAGTTATAGACATGAGCTACTAGCACTTAGCTTTTCTCCATAAATATTTCATATGCTACTTCCCATTCCTTTTCTCAAAAAAGGGCTTGGTGGTAGATCTTGGGTCTTAGGAGTCACAAAAGATTTCTTTTCTGGGGCTGGGAAGGTGGCTCAGTGGTAGAGCACTTGCCTTGCATGCCTGAGGCCCTGGGTTCGATTCCTCAGCACCACATAAGCAAAAAGAAAAAAGCCAGAAGTGGTGCTATGGCTCAAGTGGTAGAGCACTAGCCTTGAGCTGAAGAGCTGAGGGACAGTGCCCAGGCCCAGAGTTCAGGCCCCATGACTGGACCTCACCCCCCCAAAAAAAAAGAAAAGAAAACCCTATATACTTATGGGGGCTGGGAAGGTAGCTCAGTGGTAGAGTGCATGCCTTGCAAGCCTGAGGCCCTGGGTTTGATTCCTTAGCACCACATAAGCAAAAAGAAAAAAGCTGGAAGTGGCGCTGTGGCTCCAGTGGTAGAGCACTAGCTTTGAGCTGAAGAGCTGAGGGACAGCGCCCAGACCCAGAGTTCAGGCCCCATGACCAGAAAAAAAAAAAAAAAGATTTCTTTTCTGATTGATCTTGCAGGAAAGCTCCTGTTTCAATAGGGTGTGGTACTGAAGAGAAATCTTCACTGTATTTGAGTTATTTTGTTTGTTTTTGTAGTTATTTTTAGTGTAGGAGATAGAACCCAGGGACTATATGTTCTAGACAATATTCTACCACTGAGTTACAAACCCAGCCCTTATATTTCATTTTTAAACAGATTTTGAATGTATATGTGTGTGTGTGTCTGTGTGTGTGAGTACTAGGACTTGAACTCAAGACTGTGTTCTCGCTCAGCTTCTTTGCTCAAGGCTGAGCCATTCTACCAGTTGAGCCACACCTCCAGTCCAACTTTTTTGCTAGTTAATTGGAGATAATGTTTCTCAGATTTTTCTTCACTGTGTGGCTTCAAATCAAGATCCTCAGATCTCATCTTTCTGAGTAGCTAAGATTACAAGTGTGATCCATCAGCAGCTGGCTTAAGAGATTTTTGGATGTGTAATAATATACCCTAAAATTTATATTCACCAAAATTCACTCAGTTTAGGTCTATAGTTCTACAAATAAATTTAAAAGAACTTTAGCCAGACATAATTATACACACCTGTCACCCTTGCACTTGCGAGGCTGAAGCAGGAAGATTATGAGTTTGAGACTAGCCTGTGCTACAACAAAGCAATTTTTCTAAATCTGTTTGTTTTTGTTGGTGGTAGTGGTGGTGCTTGGTTTGAACTTAGAGCCTTGTGCTTGGTAAACAGGTACTAGACTTCTGGACATACCTCCAACCCATTTATTTATTTATTTATTTATTTTTAATTTTATGAGGGCTCTGAGCACTATCCTTGAGCTTTATTTGCTCAAGGCTAGCACTCTACCACTTGAGCCACAGCGCCACTTTAGTAAAGCTTTTTCTCTTTATGTGGTGCTGAGGAATCCAAGCCAGGGCTTCATGCATGCTGGGCAAGCACTCTACCACTAGGCCACATTCCCAGCCTCCAGCACTTTTAATGACTTAAGATTTTAATTCCTGCCCAGGCATGTGCCTATTTTAGGCTTTTTGTCATAGCTTGGATAACAAGTATATGCCATCACAGCTAGCTATGGCTTAGGAAGGGGATCTCTCCATCTTTTCTGCCTGGGCTGGCCTTGAACTGTAATCCTCACATTTTCAGCTTCCCAAGCAGCTAGAATTAGAGCTGAGAGCCAGCAATACGTGACTTTTCCATGTTTTGTTTTTAGATAGGGTGTAGTGCTCTTTGCCCTAGGCTGTACATGATCCTCCTAACCTTTTTTAACTGGGATTGTAGGCTTGAACTACCGTGCCTCATTTGTTTGTTCAGAGGTCTTGCTTTTTGTCTGGCTGGCCTTGAGCTGCAGTACTCCCCATCTCTGCCTCCTGAGTAGAGCTGGGATTACAGGCTAAAATTCAATTTTAAAAGAAATTGGATTAAAATTAAGTTTCAAGCTGTCGAAATAGTCCCTAGTTTCAAACAATCCCTATTTCATTTTGTTTGTATACATCCGAACATTTCATATAAATGGAAGATTGATGTGATCAGTGACTGGCTTCTTTTACTTGGCATAATATTTTTTTTTAATTTTAATCTATGTTATAGCATGTATCACTACTTCATTTTATTAATAAATAGTATTCCATTATATGAATATCTATCAGTTGATGACTACTTGGATTGTTTCCAGATTTATTTTGATTAATACTGGCCTGATTATCTGCATGCACATTTTTGTGTAGATAAGTTTCCCTTTCTCTTAGAATGGTAAGTTTATGTTTAATTGTTCAACAGTCAGCCAGAGTATTTTCCAAAGTGGTTGTACCATTTTACCAGCAGTGTCTGAGGGCTCTGTTTCTTCATTTACATGCCAGCAATTTATTGTGTGGTTTGTTACTGTCTGTTATCCTAATGTAATACTTTTAGTTAACGTATGAGCTAAAATATCACAAGAGCTGGCCTGAAAACTGTTTTTTGCAGCCCCAAGTTGATCTACAGGAGTAGACTGTTGCAGTTCACTTGAATTGCATTTTGATTAGCATCCAGAGTGCTACTGAATCTAGAATACTGTTCAACAGAAATACGAAGTGCTGTACTGGCACTGGTAACAGAGGATTAGCAATAAGTAGAGATGGAGCCTTGAAGACTCATAAGAAGATACCAAACTATTAGTGAAAGACCAAAGTATTAGTCTCTCACTAATACTTTGGTGAAAAGTTGAATTTCTTATATTAGAATATGGTTGATACAGAAATATCCTATATGTTTAATAGATAAATCATTCTCCACTGTGGCTTTATTCTTATACAAGATTGTGATTTCTTGGCTTGAACAGAGCTGCAACTTTACTTTTAATTTCTTTAAGGTTACCATTATAATTTACCTTTCCATTTTGGGACTCCTACTTCTGTATATGGTGTATCTTACCCTGATTGAGCCCATACTGAAGAGACGCCTCTTTGGACACTCACAGTTGATACAGAGTGATGACGATGTTGGGGTAAGTTCCCAGCCTGCCCTTGCTGCTGAAAAGTCATCAATGTGGAATTTGGAAGTGATGTTCCTTGGTGATGGTGCTGTGTCAAACTTTGCCCTGTTTATATTGAGAAAAGCATCTAAGGTAGTTTTTCCCCCAATCTCTTGTCCTGAACATCTTTCCTATAATAGTACCTAGTGCTGTGGAAGGCAAAGAGGGTTTACTGACCATGGCTTTCTTTCCTTATTATGTTTTCCTATTTTCCTCTAGATCCTCCTCTTATCTTTTTTTTTTTTTTTTTGGTCCGGTCGTGGGGCCTGAACTCTGGGCCTGGCCTCAGCTCTTCAGCTCAAGACTAGCACTCTACCACTTGAGCCACAGCGCCACTTCCGGCTTTTTTCTTTTTGCTTATGTGGTGCTGAGGAATCAAACCCAGGGCCTCATGCATGCAAGGCAAGAGCTCTACCATTGAGCCACCTTCCAGCCCCCCTCCTCTTTAAAACACATTTATCTTTGTACATATAGTTATGTAAATTGCTGTTGTCTTTCTTGTTGTTGTTTTAACATTACTTCATTTTAAAATGTCTGGAAATGGACATACTCCACAAGCTTGTCATTTAATATACATTAAGATTTATATTGTTAGTTTTGTCATTATTCCTTTTGGAATTATATCTCAATTTTCCATTTTATTATATATAATTATTGTCTATATTTTTCTTTTGAATTTTTTTCTTAGACTTTATTCTTGAATAAATTCACTATAGTGAATGAATTCACTATAGCTTTAAAAAAATCCATTGTAAAAGCCAAACTCAGAGCAAGCTTGCCAACTAATCAAAAGTCCTTTTACTCTAGAATGCCTTTGTAAACTATTAGGAAAAATGGGAAAGGAGAAGAGATCCTTTCCAAAGATAGCTTTAGTTATAACTACAAATCACTGATCAATGCTGTATTGTCTCCTGAATATCAATTATGCATATTTAACTTACTTGAGCAAGATTTAACTTTTTAAAGTTTTGTAAAGAACTTTTATACATGGAGAAAGCTAAGACAAGAGATTATATATCAGAAGTATTAGAGCCTTAAATACTATTTGCTTATGTGCTAATTTTCATAAGTCAGGGTTCTCAAACTTAACAACTACATATAATTTAGGAATGGATAACTTTTAGTTGTCTTCCTAATTGTAAGATATTCAGCAGCATCCCTGACCTGTATCCAGTAATATCAGATGATTTATGCCACTAGATTGCCATCTGAGTCATGTTACCATCACTGTCAAATGTTACTATGTAGGGGACAAAGACACTTCCAATTGAGAACTATTGACATGAAAACTTTGTGCATCAAAAGCTTCATAAACTATTTTCATTATTGTCATATAGATTGGGAGTCTAACTTTACCTACATACTTTATAACATCACATATCTATTGCTGATTTCAGAAATAGGCAATGTTAACATAGCACACACAGCACAAAAGAAAAAGATATACAGATGTATACAGGGAACACATGTAGGACAGGCATTTGATTGATAGGGTCAAGTACTCAGTAGCTATTTTGCCCACTAGCGGTTAATTCTTCCTGCACATTGACCATTTGGGAACACTGTGGCCTGGATATTTGTTAAACTGATTGTAGGCAGAGAAAGGTTTTTGTGGTGCAATTCTATACAAAAAGAAGCGAAATTTAAATTCCTACAGTTGTTGCTTATTTAAAATATGAGTTCATCATTACTTATGTCCTTTTTATAAGGCTCTTTTAAACCATTTTTTGTTTTCTATACTTCATTTTTGCTGTCTTTTTAGTGTAGAACATCTAAAGGCAAATAAAAACACAAATAGTTAAAAATTAAGCTCATTGCTAATAGTCATAGTATTTACTGTATCATATAACCATGACACATCATTACTATTATCAAAAGCATTACTTTAAACATGTTTTGTGTTCATTGAAATGTTATCAGGTGTAAAAAGAACAAACATCTAAAAAGGGTAAATCTCTATTTGCATTCTCCCAGCACCCAAGACCATGAGCAGCTAGTTCAATCTTGTTCCAGTAGGTGGAGAACAGACCAAGAGGATTAACTGGTTTGTTTAGTCTTTGGAACTTGTTCCTTAAGATATTTTTCTCCTCTTTAAGAGTAGATGACAGGACTATGAAACTGAGGGGTGCTCTGCAGATAAAGTACATCCTTTTTCTCATTATTGTTTATATCAAAATAAATCAATGGTATTAATATTTTATATACAAGTTTATTGGAGCACTATATTCCTATAGTGTTATTTTAATCTACCTGAATAAAATCTGTGTGCTCAGAAGATGCCAGGTCAAGGTTAGGCAAGCTGAGTTTTAGTATTTGTGCTCATTTTGTTAAATGACTTTGGGTTAGTTTACTACCTTCTGGGAAATCAAGTCATCCTACAGCTTTAGCCTTCTGCCTCTCTACCTTCTTTCTTTGAACATTTTGGACTTCATGGGGTATTATGTATTGTTTCATTTGTAAAGTTGAAAATAAAAAGTAATGGGATTTTCACAAGCCATTACCTAAGAAGTATAAAGTTGAGAACATTTTATTAAGAAGGAAGAAAAGATTCTTTATAGAAAGCCCTTTGAAAACAAGTTGGGGTTGTATATAGAGTTACATGGTCATGTATACCATATGCTGCCTCCTGTCATGTATGATAAGAGCTTTTTTGCACATGCATGGCAGAACAATGTTTCTTTCCTGGAGATAAAGCTTAGTTTTAGTGTTGGAACATGTGGGAACTTTGCTAATCTGGAGTACAGGAAAAAGAGATCAAGGGAAAGACAAAACAAAAAACAATCAATTACTATTGAATGCTTTTTGTCATTTAGGCAGCTGTGTTTATATCTTATTCTTAGATGGATTAGTATGGTGGTTTCCTATGTAATGACCACAAACATCCAGGTATGCTAGTTTACTTTGACTAGGAGAGATTAGTTTATCCGGATCTCAGAATAACCTTTCAGTAACCTCTTTCCTAAGATCGTACTTTACAGTGAAACCATCATTATTCAGTAATAAAGATTCGAGTCTTTGTTGAACAGAGATGCTGATGTGAGTCATTCTTTACTTTCCTTAGTAACAGGGTAATTGTAGCATTTGAGCTCTGTCTCTTTTCATTGAAGATTGGAGAAGGGAGAAAACAAGACAACCCTTGGAAACTAGTTAGTTTAATATTTGTGGGGTTGGTATGGGGAGAGATTAAAACCAACCAAGATAAACCCTCTCAATTCATCTGCTATGCTAAATGTGGCCCCAGGCTGAAAAGTAAACAATTCTAGTATGTCAGAAAATTAAAAGACAGATCTTTCTGCTGCCACAGATTATAGTGTTGATTAATAGGAAAAACCTTACTTCTTGTAGCATGAAGACATTAATATGCAAATATGTTTTGGTTTGGTTTGGTTTTTTTGGTCGGTTGTGAGGCTTGAACTCTGGAGTCCCCTGAGCTCTTCAGCTCAAGGCGAGCGCTCTACCCCTTGAGCCACAGCGCCACTTCAACTTTTTTTGAGACAGTATCTCAGCATTCTCTTTTCTGTGCCTTCCCAGTGCTTGGACACAGGCATTCATCACCACACTGGACTGGTGTGGTGGTGCATGCCTATAAGGCAGGAAGATTACATGTTTAAGGATGTATGTAGCAAGACCCTGTCTCCAAAAAAAGGAAGATCTCTCTTTAGCACAAATGAACACTGACCACTGCTCTTGTCTTGGTCTCTGCTTCTTTTTTTTTTTTTTTTTTTTGTCAGTCATGGGGCTTGAACTCTGGGCCTGAGCGCTGTCCCTCAGCTCTTCAGCTCAAGGCTAGTGCTCTACCACTTGAGCACAGCACCACTTCCAGTTTTTTCACAGACTTTCCTGTCCGGGCTGGCTTTGAACCATGATCCTCAGATCTCAGCCTCCTGAGTAGCTAGGATTACAGGCGTGAGCCACCAGCACTTGGCAGGCGGGTCTCTGCTTCTTAAGGGTGACCCATGGACATTTTTTACCCAAAACTCCCTTGTTGCTTGTTTCTTGAATCAACCTATTTCAATAGTTGAGTAGCTAGGAGTGCTTAGTCACATGGATGCTTTGTTTGAAAAGTTTGCCTGTTCCTGTGCTTAGCTAGCAGCTGTTTTGTATGTCTGTATATCACTGTCTCTGATGCTTTCTATCCGGATTTTCAGGATCATCAGCCTTTTGCAAATGCCCATGATGTGCTTGCCCGCTCCCGCAGTCGAGCCAATGTTCTGAACAAGGTAGAATATGCCCAGCAGCGTTGGAAGCTTCAAGTTCAAGAACAGCGAAAATCTGTCTTTGACCGACATGTTGTCCTCAGCTAATTGGGAATAAAAGTCAAAGTGACCAGAAAAAAAAATGGGCTGACAATTGGAAAGAATTGAGATTCCTGGGTTTTGTTATAATGACCTGTTGATTTCACCAACTCTTGCTGGAAGACTCAAAATTGAAAGCAAAAATATGCTTAGTATTTTTTTTCTCATTAATGTATTAATGAAGACATTTTTAAAAGCACACAGTTCAAAGTCAGTCTATAAATCTTTTCCTACTTGTGACTTTTACTAATAAAACTAAATCTGCCTGTAAATTATCTTGAAGTCCATTATCTGAAACAAGCACTCTCTTTTTCACCACATAGTTTTAACTTGATATTCAAGATATTTTTCAGGGTTGGGTTTGCTTTTTTATTTTTTTTTTTGGTGTGTGTTATTGTTGTTGTTTTTTTTTGTGGCAGAAGGAGAGATGCGTGGAAAGTGCTTGATGAAACTTTCTTAAGTCACTTTACTAAACTTTTGTAAATAGTTCGTACCTTCTGTTTTCAAAGTCATTGGTAATGTTCCAATGTAGCCAACCTCATCAAAGCACTGACTTGCTCATTTGACTTTTGCACTGACTATATTATCTAGGTATCTGGTTGGCCTATGGCTGCATTTCGTGGTAAACTGGATCTGAAATGCCTGGTGGCTCTTCACAAAATGCAGATTTTCTTCATGTACTGCGATGTCTGATGCAATGCATCCCAGGACAAACTGGCCATTTGCTAGTTTACTTTAATGACTAAACATAGTCTTGGTGTGTGTGGTCTTCCTCATCTTCTAGTATCTTAAGGACTTGGATGCTTGCAATAAAGAAATTTCCTCTTGAATCCAAGCCTCCCTGGGTTGATGACATACTCATATTGGTCAGCATTTCCAGTCGTGTTGAACGGCAGCTGTTTGAACTCTCGCGTGCAGCTTTGAACTAGGACTGGGGTTTGGTTGCCTCTCTGAAAAGCATAACAATTATTGGATAACTGGGTTTTTTTCTTCCTATATGTCCTTTTTGGAATGTAACAATAAAAATAATTTTTGAAACACATATTAATGTGTCCATGTACTCAAGCTTTTTCTTTTCCTTTTTCAATATGATGAGCTTGAAGATACAAAGACATTTGTACTCTGTTGTGAGATTCATTTATACTGAATTACCTGTGTGAGCATGTTTAGAGAGGAAAGAAAAGAATGTATGGGTTCAGACCAACCGCTCTCTAAAAAGTATACAAGCCAGGTGCACATGCCTGCAATCGCAGTTATTCAGGAGGCTGAGACTAAGGATCACAGTTTGAAGCCACTCCAAGCAGGAATATCTGTGTAACTCTTTATCTCCAATAAACTACCAAAAAAGCCAGAAGTGGCGCTGTGGCTCAAGTGGTAGAGTGCTAGCCTTGAGGAAAAGAAGCTCAGGGACAATGCCCACACCCTGAATTCAGGCTGGAAGCTCAGGGACAATGCCCATGGCCCGAATTCAGGCTCTACGACCAGCACAAATATAAAATTTAAAAAGTAAATTATACAGATGTTGTGGTAAACTGAGAGATTTAAAATTCCTAAAGGAGCCATGCGCAGGTGGCTCACGCCTGTAATCCTAAGCTACCCAGGAGGCTGAGATCTGAGAATGGTGGTTCAAAGCCAGTGTGAGACTCTTATCTCCAATTAACCACCAGAAAACCAGAAGTGGTGGCTCAAGTGGTAGAAAGCTCGCCTTGAACTGAAGAGCTCAGGGACAGCACCCAGGCCCAGAGTTCAAGCCCCATGACCAACAACAACAAAAACTAAAAGAGCATTTGTCCTACAAAGTTCTTGACAAAAATTGTATTGCAGCCTAGCACTTATGGCTCATGCCTATAATCCTAGATGTTTAGGAGGCTGAGATCTGAAGATGGCAGTTCAAAGCTAGCCTGGACAGAAAAATCCATGAGACTTATATCCAGTTAACCAGCAAAAAGCCAGAAGTGGAGGTGTGGCTCAAATGGTAGAGTGCTATCCTTGAGCAAGAAAGCTCACAGACAGTGCCCAGGCCCAGAATTTGAGTCTCAGGACCAGTGTACACACATGTGCTTGCTCATACACACACACACACACACACACAATTGCAATTAAATTCATAAGGATAATGTTTAGGAACTGCTAATGGTTTTGTTGCTTCATTTAAAACAAAAAATGGAGTTTTTCAACATCCACAAACATACTAAAATTGGTTACATTGTTAGTATTAAAATGTAGGCTTATGCCTGGCTCAGCTTCTCAGGAAGCTGAGATCTGAGGATCAAGGTTCAAAGCCAGTGCAGGCAGGAAAGTCTGTGAGACTCTTATCTCCAATAAACCACCAGAAAACTGGAAGTGGTGCTGTGGCTCAAGTGGTAGAACCTTGAGCTGAATTGCTGAGGGACAGTGCCTAAGCCCAGTGTCCAAGCCCCACAACCCACCAAAAAAAAAAAAATCCAAAAAACAAAATTTAGGCTGCACATAGTTATGCACACATATAATCATACCATTCAGGAGGATGAGATAGGACCACAAGTTCAAGGCCTGTCTGGGCTATGTAACAAGCTCAAGGCCAGCCTGCATAATATCACTGTCTCAAAGGAAAAAGTCAACCATGATCAAGTAAATATATCCTAGACATGAAAAACTAATTGAACATTTGAAAATAATACCATCAGTGAGAATTTTAAATAAGATGTAAGTCAAAGCACTAGTGGCCCATGCTGTAATCCTAGCTATTCAAGAGGCTGAGATCTGAGGATCAGGAAAGACGTGAGACATCAGTTAACCAGTAAAAAGCTAGAAGTGTACCTGTGAGCTCAAGTGGTAGTGTTAGCTCAAGTCAAAAAGGTAAGGGACAGCACCCAGGGTCTGAATTCAAGCATCAGTATCAGCACACACACAAGAAATAATGAAGGCTGGGGCTGGGAAGGTGGCTCAGTGGTAGAGCGCTTGCCTTGCATGCCTGAAGCCCTGGGTTCGATTCCTCAGCACCACATAAGCAAAAAGAAAAAAGCCGGAAGTGTCACTGTGGCTCAAGTGGTAGAGCGCTAGCCTTGAGCTGAAGAGCTGAGGGACAGTGCCCAGGCCCAGAGTTCAGGCCCCACGACTGGACCCAAACAAAAAGAAAGAATGAAGATTCAAGTTCTTACTGACTTTTTTTAAAGTTCTGGCCTTAATCTCTTATCTATCTAAAAGACTATTGACAGTATTTACATATTGATATTATTAAAATACCTTAAGTTTTATTTTTACATAAAACTATAACCCAAATGAATTGAGCATTCTTTAAACAAAAGAATGTGTTACAAGTACCTAGTTTTGTAAGCAAACCTTTCTCTCTAGTATTGTTATGGGTTGTCATATCTATGTATTAGAAGAAAAAAAGCTAAGCCAGAACCAAGCAGCTCTGTTTAACTGTAAGCTACTTTGCATATTGTTATTAAATGACCACTTATAAATCAGGTTAAATCTGACTCAGCTCCAAATAGAGCACCTTGAACGACAAAACGCAGGTAAGAGACACTTCAGAGGGGCCCAGAGGGGAGAGTAGGGAACATGATTTTTAAAGAAAATCCATAGGCATAGTTGACAAAGGATAAATTTATCATCAACCTGATTACTATGTAGATATCAGTTACTGCCCATAGAAAGTACAGATTTACTGGCGATTAAATGGTTTAGAGGAGTGGGAAATGTTTTGGTTAAACCTTAGCAACTTATCATAACCTTATGGGGGTGGGGAAAGAGGTTTTTTTAAACTTCCCAGCTCTTAACATTCCATAATTAAATTATATGTGCAGCAGTAGCATTTTGTTTTGTTTTGTTTTGTTTTACATGCCAGATATAGTTTTTAATGAAAGTTTTTTATGAAAGTTAAAGTTTTTATGCTCAGTAGAGCATCAAGAATTTCTTAGGATTTTATCATTAAGACCTCATTATTTCCCAGAAGAGCTCAAAAACAGAAACCTAAGATTTTTCCCAAGACAGCATGTTTGTTAGCATTCCGTGCATCTGTAACCACAAAGTGCAGTACTGGCTATCTGTGTTACTTCGTTCTAAAATAAATGTGTACTCAATTCTTACACAAACACTTCCAAGTTCCATAATACTTACTTCCCATCTTGATTCTCTTTATCACTGTATTTTTTTTCATCCTTTTTTTTTTTTTCTTTTTTGGTCAGTCATGGGGCTTGAACTCTGGGCTTAGGTGCTGTCCCTGTGCTTTTCAGCGCAAGGTGAGCCCTTTACCACTCAAGCCACAGTGCCACTTCCGGTTTTTTCTGTTGGTTTATTGGAGATAAGAGTCTCCTGCCCAGGCTGGCTTTGAACCTCGATCCTCATATCTCAAGCCTCCTGAGTAGCTAGGATTATAGCCACCGGTGCCTGGCTTTTTTTTCATTCTTTTACTCTGTTTTGTTGTTGTTGTTTGAGCAAAAGGTGATCGTATTTAAATGCTATTAATATTGGTTGGTTGGACTTATTGGAAATGTCCATTAGAAAAAGCTTCTTATTAATGTGTTTCCAGGGACAAGATACTGAGTTATGTAAATATCTTGTTAAAACCTGGAAACGGAAAATCACTGTGGCATATAAAAATTGTTCGAGGTTCATCTAGATCAAGATGTGAGATACTATTTAAAGTATTTTTCTGGGTAAAGCTAATACCTAAAATAGTTAATTCACATAACTGACTTTCATGACATCTGCTTTACTTTTGGGGAAATTGTTGTACTTCCTTAATGCTGACTTGTCAGCTGTAAGCAAATACAAGGCCATTGGAAGCAGTACACTGATGCAGGCTGCATACACTTGTCCTCATTTTGCAGTTGCTGCAAAATCTTCTCTGCTAGATTTCTTGGCTTAGTGAATTTCTCCTAACTAGTTTTTCTCACAACTCTTTTTTTCTTTGTGATAGAATGATTTCTGGAGATTTTTGACATATTATTTTGGGTAGTTGGGTCAGGAATTGGAATTCTTCATTTCCTGTTGCTCTGGTTTTATTTTTAATTGAGTCTATTCCACTTATCCTTTCCCATCATCTTTTCAAAAGCCTTTCCTGGCATTGACTCCTTTTCCAGTGGATTTTACTGTGACTTATTAAAACCTTTCCTACTCCAAACTTGGATCCTCCACCCACTGCAGTCCTCTCTGTTTCCACAGTTTCTTATCTTTTCAGAAGCCATATCCAGACTTTTTCATAAAAGTTAGAAAACACTTGAGTTCTGGAAGCTTCTCCTCCCATTATGTAGTGCAGCCCTCGGAGTTGTTCCTGTGCTCTGGTTATCTAATCTGGATCTTATTTGTAAGTGGTAGCACTGCTTTGGAGGCCTTTATTTTGCCTTTTTCTTTGAATAGGTCTGTCACTGGGCACTACTTCTCCCCCCAAGAGTGAACAGAAAGCTATATATCCTTGTTTTATGGAGGTCCATAAATTTCAAGTTGCTTTTGCTTTTCTATTTTAGCTGTGTTCTTCAGATTTCAACAAATGTGCTTTACATAGATCAATGTATTGATTCTCCACAGTTAGGAAATATATAAAGCTATTTTCTATAAGCACAGAGAAAGGGAGACTGTACAAGTACTCATTTATGAATAAAGAGGAAAATGTGCCTGGTGCATCAACCGTGTATGTGTGTGTGTGCATGCGTATTTCTGGAGGTAGTGGGGATTGAACACAAGGCCTCATGCTTACTAGACAAGTAAGTACTCTACTGCTTGACACTCCAGTCCAAGATGGTTGGTTTTTCTACTGTTGTTTTCATTTAATTTTCACAGTCATTCTACTGAATAGTTACTATCTTAAGTGGGCATAGGAAACAGCTGAGTCTCAGAGAGGTTAACAAGTTTGCTTAGGAACACAAAGCAAAGGAAAAGTAAAACTAAGGTATATACCCAAAAGTATTTGAAAGGAGAAAAAAATACTGTTTCTGTATGATACCGCTTTACCTTCTACTTAACTAAACTCTGATGCCCTAAAAAATTTATTGTGGCCACTTTATTACTGTTAAAAGGTAAAAAAGGGTTGGGGTTGAAAAATGCAATGGGGTGGGG